CACCCCCCCCCCTCACCGGCACTTGAAGTCGCAAGAGCCTGCGGCCAGGAGGACGTTGTTGGGGTGCCAGTCGAGGCTGAGCACCGTCGAGCGGATGGGCTTCTTGATGTGCTTGCAAACCCACCTGCGGGGAGAGCGGTTGGTGTCAGTGGGGGGAGCATCACCACCCCGGGAACCCTCCTGGGCTTTCGGGGGGCTGGCTGAGGGTGGTCAGGGCTCCAAGCGCCCCAGGAGCTGCCCTGGGTGACCAGCCTGCAGCAGCAGCCAGGGCATGGGGACAGCATGTCCCATCCCCAGCAGCAGGGTTTTGGAGCACGTCCCTCCAGCTCCCCATCTGTCTCCCCCTGCACCTCCTCCTCCACCTCCTCTCTGTCTCCCCTCCAACTCCTCCAGTCTCCTATCTCCCAATGCACCTCCCTTCCATCTCCCCTCCCTCCCTCCCTCCCTCCATCTCCCCCAGGACAAGCCCAGCGAGGCCATGGCTGAGCCTCACCAGTCGTTCTCCTGCTCAAAGTAGCAGATGGAGATGAGCCGGGAGCCGCTGCCCACGGCAAACTTGTTCTCCTTGGGAGACCATTTGACGCAGCGGGCGGCCCGGTTGATCCGCAGGATGACCAGGGTGGGTTTCCAAACGTTGCCCTTCAGGGTCCAGACGTAGGCGTTGCGGTCGGTCCCGCATGTCACCAGCCGGTTGCTCTCAGGGGCCCAGTCGATGCCTGGAAGGCAGAGCAGGGTGATGGTGGCCCAGGGAGCCACGGGGTTGGGAATCGGTCACTTAGGGCTGGAGGCCATTTGAAGGCAGAGCTGTTCTGGGTGGTCTCTGCTCCAGAGTCCCTCTTTGCCCTACTCCCACATCCATCCCAAATCATCCCACCCCATCCCTTCCCATCCCTCCCACCCCATCCCATTCCACTCCAACCCATCTCACCCCATCCCATCTCATCCCTCTCCATGCTCCTCATCCCTTCCCATCCCTCCCACCCCATCCCATTCCACTCCAACCCCACCCATCTCATCCCATCTCATCCCTCTCCATCTCTCCCACCCCATCCATCCCACCTCTGGGTGCCTTCTGACATGATTGGGGCCAGGAGAGGTAGGCACAACCCACTCCTTCTCCTCCACCCACTGCTCAACAGGCTGGGACCGTCTCCGGGGCAGGGCCACCCTCCAGCCGTGTCCCCCTCCCCTCCGTCGGCCAGGACTCACCCGTCACCTGCCCGTTGTGCTCCTTCAGCTCGTGGACTTTGCTCCACTTGGCCCCGTCCTTGCGGTAGATGTGGACTTCGTGGTTGTTGGGGCAGAGGGCGATCTCTGTGGGGCGAGAGCGGCCAGGGCAAAGCCCTCCCCTGGGTGCTGGGCTCTGCCAGGGGGGGGAGCGGGGCCAGCCGGCATCGACCTGCCCCTTCCTGTCCTCCAGGCTCGGTGGGGCACGGTGGGACCCCACTGAGCCCCATCTGCATGGTGGGGTCCCACCGAGCCCCCCAGCCTCCGCCCCACGCTGCCCCGAAGCTGGCCCTGCTCCTGCAGACTGTTCCTACAGGGAAGGGAGAAGCTCCCCCAGACCCGACAGCCCAGCGTCCTCCCTTCCCCAGCGTGTGGTCCCGTGGGGCTGGTGGGATGGGATGGGATGGGATGAGACAGCGTGGAATGGGACGAGGTGGGATGGGATGACTGCGGGTGCTCAGCTCCCATCTGGCCCCATCCTGCCCTGCCTGCCCAGCACGCCGGCCCCAGCAGAGAAAGACCTTTTTGTTCTCTCCCACATCCCCCGCGCCGTGGCCGGGAAATGCCATCAGCCCTGAATCACCCGGCTCCGCTCTCCTCTCCTCCCCAGTGCTTCACCCGGTCCCTCCCTGCGCCGGCCGCCGCGGTGCTTCGGGGCTGGATGCTGTGCTGGCACCCCCTGTGCCGGGCTCTGTCCCGGCAGTGGGACCAGGGGGATGCCAGGGAGACATGTGCTGTCCCCAGCCCCAAAATCTGTCCGTGGCAGGACTTGCTTCCCCAAACCCAGCCCTGACCCAGCTCTGCCCTGTCTGGGGGGGGGGGGCATCACCCACCGCGGGGATGTTCAGCCGGGACAGTCAGTGCTTCGGGCCCTCCCTGGGGATTTCAGAATGGGGTGCCCCGGCTGTACTTACGGGTCCGGTCCTTGTTCCAGGCGTGGCAGCTGATGGGCTCCAGCAGGAAGCTGTGGTAGGCCATGGCTTGCGGGCTGGAGATGGGGCAAGACCCCCGCGGCCGTCAGGAGACGCTGCTCTGGCCATGGGGACAAGCCCCCAGCGGGACCCCCCGCTCCCAGCCCCACCGAGTGTTCCCTCCCGCCAGGACCAGCCCCACGTTGCAGCCCAACCACATCCACCCTCTGCCAGGGAAGGGGTTTCCCCAAGGATTTCCAAGCTCAGAGTGTGCCCAAGCAAGGGGGAAGGGTGCCCCAGCGGGTCCAGTTCGGGGGGGGCGAGGGAGGGTCCGGGTGGAGCTGGAGGAGACGTTCCTCACAGTGCTGCCCCGTGGCTGGGCACCCCACGCTGAGTGTCCCGTGGCTGGGTGCTAGATGGGAGCCCATGGCCAGATGCCCACAGCTGGGTGCCCCATGGCCAGGAACCCCATAGCTGGGTGCCACGCGGGTGTCCCATAGCCAGATGGGAAGTGGGGACCACTTTCAGGGACTTCCAAACCGCGCCATCATCCTGCCCCAGCCGGCTGGAGCCTGGTGGGCAGGAGCCAGCTGGGCACACGGGGACCCTGGTGCCAGCACCACTGGCCCCACGCGCATCCTGGGGGGTCCTGCCATGGGCAGCACCTCCTCCCTCCGGCTGCTCCCGCCAGCCCCGCAGGGCCAGATCCGCTTGCTCCTTCCCTGCCTCTTATTTAGGAAGAGCCAAAGCCCCGTGGAGGCACCTCCATCCCATCCCGTCCCATCCCATCCCGTCCTGCGTGTGCTCAGCCCTGGCGAGCCGGTGACTAATCCCTTCCCCTGGCTGAGCTCACCGCCGCTCCCGCCAGCGCCCACCGACCGCTCCGGTGCCGCAGGATGGAGCAGCTCACTGCAAGCCCGCTCTGGGCGCCGCGGGACTGGGAAGGGCTCGGAGCAGCGGCGTGGCCCCTTCGCCATCCGGCCGAGGTAATGCACGGATGTAGGGAAACACCTCGCCAGGGCGTGATGGATGGGGATTACTCAGAGCTTGCCTCTCGGCTATTTTAGGAACTCCCTGAACGCTGCCCGTTTTCTTTGGCAGCTAAAAACAGGACAGGGGAAGGAAAAAAGTCCCTCCTAGCAAACCTCTGTCCCTGGGCTGGTGAAAAGAAAATCCACAGAGCTCCATCACCCGCCTTTCGCACACGGAGAAATCCCAATGCTGATGCACAGCACAACCCCTGCTGTCACGCACCCCACGGCCGAGCCCCTGCTGAAACACCCATCCCCGCCGGCCAAGGACGCGGGCACGGCTGCGCAGGCAGCTGCCCAACCCCAGCCCCACCGATCCTGCGGGATCAGCACGGGGTGACCCACGGGAGGGTACAAAACCACGGCCGCTGCGTGCCTCTGCCCCGAGCCCTGCGGCCAGAGCTGCACCACGAGTGCCAAATAAAATCATCGGTGGGGGGGGGGGATGCTGCCGTTGGCGTTGCAAAATATCGGAAGCAGGAAAGTGTGTGAAATGGGGACCTGGCTGAAACGGGGACCCGGCTGAAACGGGGACCCGGCTGAAACGGCTCCTGGGGAGGAGGGATGGGAGGCAGGGCACGCTGTGGTGCTTCAATGCTCTTTAAGAAAACAGCGATGCCTTTTTTTTTTTTTTAT